AATCATTCACCTATCCAGAACCAAAGAGAGGCAGAGCCCACTGTGACACCCCCACTTCCTCATTCTTCAACAAACAACCCGCCCCATCCACCAGTTTCTACCCCGAAAATCTCATGCTGGGTGTGCATGTCTGTGGCCACTGGCCCAGTTCAAGCTGCTATGTTCACACTGGATTCACAATGACCTCTAATTACACCCACCTGCCCCTGATCCATGATATAGTCCCACCCTGCCCAGGGATGGGACAGCTTGTCATATATAGACATGGCTCTGACTAAATACTGCAGAGACTCCCTACCACATTGATTGAGGCTTTTTGGGGGGAGGACTATACAGGGGTTTGAACTCAGGGCCTCATGCTAGCTAAGCAGGTGCTCTACCTCTTGAGCCACTCTGCCAGACTGTTTTTGTGTTAGGTATTTTTGTGAACTACTTGCCTAGGCTGACCTCAAACCACAATCCTCCTGATCTCTGCCTCCACAGTAGCTAGGATTACAGGTATGAGCCACTGGGACCTGGCTTGATTCTTTTTTTTTTTTTTTTTTTTTTTGGTGCTCTAGGCAAGCACATTATCACTGAACGATACCTCTGGACCCCCAATGCTTTTTTTGAGACATGGTCTCTCTCTATGCAGGACAGAATGGCTTCAAACTTGCAATTCTTCTGCCTCAGCCTCCACAGTAGCTGGGATCATAGGTATGAGCCATTGTACTCCATCCCATCCCCCCAGTGCATTTAGATGAAACCTGTGCTCCTCATCCTACTCTACTTACAACATTCTTACCTCCTCTCCAAAGCCTAGGAGGACTCTGCCTTGAGGCAACTACCTCTGAGAAGCTGTCCCTGATCACTTTATCCTAGTGAGTCTCCTGACTTTCTTAGGTAGCATGTATGTATCTCATTTTTGACTGACATTTATTACCTATCTTCATTACCCACTGGAAATGCCTCTTTCCTGCACCAGCATTTCACATCATGACATGCAGAGCATCCAGCACATAAATACTCAATAAACACAAGTTGAATGAATAAACAATCGCTTCCAAGCCCAAACTCAGGTCATTACACTAGCACCCAAGATTGTAAACTGTTTAGAGGAGAAGAGAAGGACAACAGGGCAACTTTTTAAGATTTCTATAGACATAGAGATACCCCTATCAAACCTCTTGGTGCCTGGCTTTTCTCTTTCCTCTAGGCAGGCTGGGTTGTTGGTATGACTTCCTCTAGGGTCAGGAAGTGGAGATGCCTGCCATTGCTGCCCCAGTCCCACTCAGGGAGCAAATGTCTGGCCCAATCATAGGCAGGACCAGGTAACACATGAGAACTGGGGGTCTGCCCAGCTACTAAGAGCCTCAGGGCCATGCTTGGCAGCCTTCAGCAGAACAGGGACAAGGCAGACTGTCAACCTGTTTAAGCCCGGAGTGCAGGATGAGCACTGGTCAAAGCCAGAGCTAAACTGGCCAGGTTTCTGAATAAGCTCTTGGAAGATGCTCTGGCCCTGACATGGTCTAAAGCATCTGAAAGAGATGCTAACAGCCTCTGCCAATCTTTCTAGCTCCCTCGGCACCTGCTCCATGAGGTCCCCAGAGTGCTGCTCTCTCCAAATCACTTCTTCCTCCCATCCTGGGCATTCCTCCTGGTTCCCACCCCAGGGGCCTGGCTAACCCCCCACACATACCAGGCCTATGCCTCACCTTGATGTAGGTGTCCAAGGCAGGATGAACTCGTTGGATAGCCAGCCAGATGGACAGGGTTGTGGTGTAAGGAAAGGTGGCTGTCACAACATGGCTGGGTGCTGGGAAGGAGAATATCTTGAAGCCAAATTTCTGGTAGAGGTGGATGAGTTCAGGACAGGGTGACTCCTCTCCTTCACTCAGGATGCTGCCCACTGCACAGCGACACTTCTCAGGGGCCACCTGTAGAAGCAGAGCAGAGGTCAAAGTTGGACAAAAGAGGGAGGCCCTCAGGCCATCTGTCCTCTGCATCTAGGCCAGCTCAGGCCTGGAGAACCACCTATTCTGATAGGCCACACTGTCCCAGATACCAGGATGGAGCTGACCATTTTCTTGCTGAAACTTTCCATGGCCCCCACCTGTACATCCTACTGCAGGACTCTCACCCATCACTCCATTTATTCCTTCCATAAACATGCCATGCCCCATGCTAGAGACCCAAGGGTTATGGTGAGAGAAGAGACTTGATGTCTGTCCTCCAGAAGCCCAGGAGAGGGAAGCATAGAGAAGACCTCTAAACTGTCACACTCCAATGGCCCGTCAACATACTCCTGAGGGGACCCTCCCATCTGACCTGTCAGCCCCCAACACCCAGGGCCTTTGGCAGGACTACAGACCAGCTGATCTTAAAGTCTGGATCCAGCATAGCCCAATTAGTTTGTTTCCCCCTATCTCTTGAAGGAGCAAGCCTGACTGGTAGGGAAATTGTGGCAGGCAAGGGAGCAGAACTGAGGAGTGGGGACAAGGAAAAGAGCCCATAGCTCTCTTTCCTGGTCCCACCCCATGAAAGCAAGAGTGCTTTCATGCACACATGGAATAAAGATCTGAGTGGGGATCTGGCATCTGGTTGTGGAAACAATTGGTCAGAACCTGAGATGACACTGGTTAGAAAATAAAAGTCTGAGAGGTAATCTCCTCCCAGGTCAACCACCATTATCAGCACCCCTAGACCTTTTCTCCAACCCTTGCCACATCCTGGGACCTGTCCTTTCCCAAGTCCCTTCCTGGATAAGCCAAAGACTGCTGATTCCATCCAAGTTTTTCAGTGTTTTAGAGAGTCCCTATCCTTCCTCGTTTGGCTCCCAGACGCTCCAGCCAGACAAGGTTCTTATGTGAGCCTCCAACCCTTCCTAGGACTAACCAGGCATATAGACTAGCACTCATTTCTGGCATCAGGTAGCCCCAGTTTGTCTCACCTCCTTCTACCTGTTTCCCATGTCTACTCTCCTGCCATCTAAGTCTACACCAGCAATTGCACACCCAGGAGTAGGTATTTCTGAATCCAGGACACTTAACACAGATCTTGTGCTCTCAGGCCTATTGACCCCTAAATTTAAACTGATCATTCCCTCCGCCTCCACCTATTTCCCTCCTTAGCTCTCCCTCCCAGCACTATGGAGTCATCATTACCCATTTGCCTCTGTCCTCCTATAACAACCCTTCATAAGCCCTGTCAGCAACCTCGTGAGCCTTTCTCAGCCCTGTTTTGCCTCCTCTACTCTGGCAGCCCAGCCCTGCCTTAGAATCACACTTTGACTGAGACTTAGGTACCTAATCCAGGCTCTGACCTTCAAGAAGACCCTAAGGGTCACTCAGCAGTCTGTGGCTCTGGTCCTCTTGCTGTCCCATTGGATCCTATGGCATAAAGTCTAGCTCAGAGCTTCAGTGGCAGGCAGTATGTGCAATGGTCAGAACCACAGCTGGAGAGAGGCTGGCCAGGTTCTGACGCATGAATTGTGAGCTCCTGACCAAGTCCCTTGGCTTCTTAGAGTGCCCATTCCTTGATATGTATTTAGACATGTCATATTAAATGGTAAACAAGAGCTTATCCAGGGCCCAGTACTCCCAAAGTGCTCCATAACTACTGTTGGTTAGTAGCTATGATACAGTCCCAGCAACTGTCCCTTGGCCTAGAATGTCCATCTACCCTACCCTCTGAATATGCAGCTCCTCCCCACCCACCCTTCCCCTCTTGGGAAGCCTTTCAGGGTAGCTTGGTGATAGTCCCTCCTCTCCCAGTACCCCTCTCCCTGATATTTTGCAGTAAACTCTCTTTCCCATACCGAGTCCACTAGCGGCACAGTCCCCTCTCTTGGCCTAAAGCCTCTCCCATTCCATCCTGAGCACAGAAGACTGCTGCAGTATCACCTCTTGTCTCTAGATGGTGCATCTGCACCACTCGCACCCCAAGAACTGCAAATGTCCAGATGGGCAGAGGTTCTCCCAGGCCTCCTGCTAACAGGCCAAGGAAAAGAGCCTGTCACAAAGCCTATCTGCATGTTATTGACCCTAGCTACCTATGCTGAACAACAACAAAAATCCATCCAATATAGACAAAAAGGAGAAATTGGTAGAAGGCCACTTGGTCTTTCCTCTCCATCCCCTGCCTGCCTGGGTTTGGGTCCCTGGGTCTTTTCTGGGATCACTTCAGCAGCCCTCATGGAACTCCCAGCCCAACACCTTCTTTAGTCAAAAGGCACTAGAACACATGAACCTCTCAATGGCTCTCAGTTCACCTCTGATGAAACTAAACTCCTGAGTCCAGTATGCAAGGTGGGTGTGGCCCAACCGACACTACCCCAGTCTGTCCGCACACTCACCTCACACTCTTTCTGCAGCTCTAGGCCCCAGCAGGGGCAGGGGCCCAGACAGGCAGGCACCCACTGAGTATCTACATGGCAGAAGGAGAGACATATCCAGGTTTTGGCCCAGACCGCCTTGCCAACCTCCTCTCCCACCACAGCCCCGCACATACCCACATGGAACTATTTGCAGCCAAACATGCCACATTTTCCTATGCTGCCTACTTCTGTATAAGCTGCTTCCTCTGTCTGAAATGTCCCTCTTCACCCTATTCCAAAGTTCCTTCTGCCTGGGAAACTCCTGTCCACCCTGCAAAACTCAGTTCAACCTACTCACTGAAAGCCTTTTGTTGCTCCCCACCAAGTTGCCCCTCCTCTCTGAATCCAAATACCCACCTAGGAACAGGTCTTATGCTAAACTGTAATGAAGCCTTCTCGTCTCTTCCCGTAACTCCAGGCGTCAAGGCAGAAAGGATCCTTCCCACACAGAAAGTTCTTTGGGTATGTCAGTGATGATGTATGTACACAAACACACACACAAGTCCTGTACTGCCATCAAACCTCCTCTCCTCCATCTAGAGAAAGAGTTTCTGCCAGGGGAAGGAGGTGGCTAATGTGACAGGGGTCCTGGGATCCTGGTGGTATGTAGGTCTCAGGGGCACTCTTCAACCTCAAATCTATAAGCAAGGACATTTCTTGCCCCCTCCCCTGTCCTGGCCAGTGGTTAGAGGGCAGACTAGGAGGTCCCTAAGCAAGCCCCCCACCTGCTAAGCAGCCTTGTCAGATCTGAGAAGCAGCTGAACTAGGTACCAGCAAGAAGAAGATAGGATAGCCAGGGAGTGGCAAGGCTGGTCCAGTAGGAGAAGAAAGAGTCTCTGCTCTCCTAGGAAAGCCCAGGACTACCTCCAGGAGAATGGTTTTACTAAGGTTGTCAAGGGCCTAAAAGTACCAGTATCCACATAGCAAGAGACTCCATCCACTTTGGTTCAATGCAACATCTTAATTTGTACCTAACCCTAAGAAAAAGAACTGGGTCTCCCACTTGTCTGCACCTTTTCCTACCCATATCAGCCAATTCTCTGGATACCTGTTACTAGAACAAGAGTTGGACCAGAAGTACACCAGCCAGGGGCCACAAAAGGGAAACAGGGCAGTGGTCATACCCACCATCACATTGGGTAAAGGAAAACTCACCCAGGACCTGCCCTGAAAACAAGAATACCAGGAAAGAGACAGAGGCCTGCTAAACCCCAGGGCATCTCCTTCAGGCTGTGCAGCTTCCTGAGTCCCAGCATTGTGAGAAGAGGGCAGTCTGCTTGGAACCTGAAGCTTCCAGGTATGAGATGTTCCTGAGGCTGGTCCCACTGCTCCTTCCAGAGAGACCCTGACAAATCTGTGATGTGAGACCACAGTAAAGAGCACCACCTTGGGGACCTTGCCTGGCCAAGACCTAGTAACAGAACAAGACTGTTATCTTCCAGAATCCAAGAAAGAGAAGTGATGTCAGCTGGCCCAAACCAAACCTAACCAATGGGTTCGGTAGTAATGGCCAGCCCCAGGCCCACAATCTGCATAGCCAAGAGGGACAGCTGCACCAAAGGGCTGCCCTGATCTCTCCTATGCCAGCCCACCCAACCCAGAGCTGCCAAGGCAGGGGAGCAGTAGAGGCAGAGTCCTGAACCCACCTGGTACTCCCAAGGGAACAGAGCAGCAGCACCTGCCCACTATAGAGGTTGGACACTGGATCTCATTTACCCTCATGGGTGCTGCAGGTCCACACACCAAGCCTCAGGTGACGAACTTCCCTGAACTGGTGGTGCGCAAAGGCACACTGGGGCAGGCAACAGTCAGGACATAGGCTGATGCAGATAGGCAGGCCAGAGGACAGGACTGGAGGGAAGGGAGGAGTCAGCAGGGTACCAACCCTCAAAGGGGTCTGGCGCTTTCTCAGAGATTCCATCTAGAATTCTTCTCTCCCCCATCCCCAGAAGCATACTCCTAACAATGGCTGTGTAGGAGTGGTGACAAAGCCTCACCACTTGCCTCAATTGCAGCCTTCCATGTGTCAGTGCTGTTATTAACCCTGTTCCTGAGGCCCAGGAAACCAAGCTACTCAGCAAAGGTCAAACAGCAAGGCAGTGTTCAGAGTCAGGATTTGAAGCCAAGCAGACCACCTCTAGAATTGCAACACCTAGCCCATGGCCATTTGGGAGTTTAAGAATTCAGCCCTGGCTAGGAACAGACTGCATAATGGCCTTTCCCTGCACAGAGCCTCCTCACACAGCAACCTGCAGGAGGTGGGCTGGGCTCCTAAAAGTATAAAAGCCCAGTTGTATGAGGCTCTCAAGAGGCAGGGCTGATGTCAAGTGTTCTATGCACCCATTAGGGGCCAAGAATTGGGCTTAGTCTCATTATTTAGTCCTCACAAAAATAAAAACCATCCCAGGGACTGCAGCTCAGTGGTAGACTATGTGCTTAGCATGTCAAGGCCCAGAGTTCAATTCCCAGCAACAAAACAAAACAAAACCTGAGGAAGAGAGTTTTTAATTCCCATTGGACAGATCAGGAGACAAACTCAGAGAAGCCAAGTGACTCACCCAGAGTCACATGCTGGTAAGTAGTTGGAGCCTTGATTCACAGCCTCAATTCAAATCCAAAAGAGTGAATCCAAAGCCTTCACATCACCTCACCTCCCTTCCAAGGGCTGCTCTAGTGGGCAAAGAGGGGCTCACCTTTACAGATCTGTCCCATACTTAACCTGCTGCAGAGGAAAAATCTGGGCTCTACCTGACAGAAAATACTCATGTGGTAATTGGGGTAGGGGACAGCCTGAACCCTTAGGAAAATCAGCCCAGACCATATTCCCATTGTTCTTGTTGAGAAGGTCAATCCTGGGAAATCGTACTCCTCCTTCCCTTCCTAGGCTCCATCTGACCTAAGTGCTTCCAAGAAGGCCAGGGGAAGCCACATGCCCAGGCACACTGAGTGGTGAGGAGGAGGGTGGCACAATCCTAAATCAGAACTCTCACCAGATTCATGTCCTTCAGACTTGGCAGCCCCAGGCCTTGATTCTCAGTGGACTAAGAGGAATAGGGGTCAAGGCAGGGTAGTTTTCAAAAGGCAGAACCCAAAATGCCACATTTCCTCACCCACTCCATGCCTAGGGCAGGTATGCCCTGCTAGGTGGTGGATATGAGCAACAGATTCAGGCCCACCTGGGCCAGATAAATATAACTGGCTGCCATACCCTCTTGCTTCAGTCAGGCTCTCACAAGGGCAGACAAGGTTACTTAAGCCCCAAACAGCAGCGGAGGTGATGGCAGCAGAGGGTGGGGCAAGTGGTGACAGACAGGACAAACCCATGTCATGGTAGGTCATAGTGGGCATGGGTGAGAGCAGCCAGCCACCACAGCCAGCCCACAGGCCAGAGCTGGCCAGGATCCAGTGAGATAACAGGTCCTCCAGTACTTTACTTCCCCTCTAACACTTAAGGCTCACAGAGTGACCAGGCCCAGGAGGGGAGGCTAAAGACAATTTCCAAACCCCCAGCATCTCCCTAAAAGCAGGGCTAAGAAAAGAGCAGTTTTCCAACTATGACCCTTTCCTACCTATGCAAAAGCAGCGCGCACAAGTGTGGGTGGAGGGGTGGGGCAGATCTGTGACTGATATCTACCTACATCCCCTTCCTTCAGGAACCTTAAAGAGGAAATGGCCCAGGTGCCGGTGGCTCATGTCTATAATCCTAGCTACTCAGGAGGCAGAGATTGGAGGATCACAGTTCAAAGCTAGACCAGGCAGTTAGTGCGGGTCTTGAAAATACCCAACACAAAAAAGGGCTGCTGGAGTGGCTCAGGGTGTAGGGCCTGATTTCAAACTGCAGTACCGCAAAAAAAAAAGAGGAAATGGGCCCTTGACACGAGAGGGAGATCTGTGATCTACTGCCAAGGCCTGTCCATTTCCTGACACATGCTCCCCTCTCCCCACCCTCAGCCTTGCCAAGGCCTTCAGGGATAGGGAATGGAATTCTTCCTCCCATCTCACAGAAACCATCTGCTTGGACCTTGCGGCCTCCTCCCATACAGGACTCTAGGACTAATAGCTCAAGCAGCATTTGATGTGAAAGGGTTCACAGCAACTGCCACTGTCTTGACTTGGACATATCCTTTCTTCTGACACTTCCTGGACCCAAACCAAAGTAGGGCTTTGCCAGGTCTTTCTCAGGGAATAGTCTCCCCACTGCCCAGCTCAGGCCAAGAAGGGATGTAGCTGGGGAACTGTCAGTCTACACCTCATCAGGGAAGGCAGCATACAAAGCCAGATGGACCTCTAACCTGGTTATTCACTGGGCCCACTCACAGAGCTTGTAACAGTCTGAACTCCTGTTGTGCTACGCTGGGAAGAGTGGAGATGAGAAACACAAAAAGTCAGCCTTGGTTGGGTGTGTGGCTCAAATGGTAGAGGGCCTGCTTAGCAAGTACAAAGCCTTGAGTTCAAACCCCAGTACTACCAAAACAGTGTGTGTGTGGTGGGGGGTGGTCAGATGGATACAGAAGCAGCCTAGGGAGCAGTAAGCATGGGTTCTCAGCCTTCCTCAGGACTGAGATGGGACCTCCCCTTCAACCTCCTGACACCCCCACACTCAGAGGTCCTGAGAGCTGGACAGTGCCCCAATGTCCAGCACAAAGGTTGGCACAAATCCAGTGCTCAAATATTTACTGAATGAAAACTCCTGTTCTCTGCACCTCAGTCTCTGCCTCTGCCAATATCAGAGTGTAGAGTAGGAGGCCTGAGGTCCTTCCAGACAAGGTGGTCATAAGCCCCTGAATCCTTCAGTTCTCGATCAAGCAGAGTAGATACTGTCCAGCTCCAGAGTAGGTGGGGAACCAAGTATCCCAGAGCCATCCCAAGTGCCAGGGTAAAGCCAACTCTGAATGTGGACATAGGTACCTTCTGGAGTGACCCAAGACTGGGAAGGGTGGGATCAGAGGGGTCACCTTAACCTGTTTATGCTCTATGCTGGCCAGATATTCACAGCTAGGTTAAGGGTCTGGGCCCAGGTCAGGGTGTTCAGCCTGACCCCTCAGCATATACTAATGAGCGTTTTTCTGTCCTTTTCTTTGTAAACATTTCTTGAAGACAGGTGCTGTGATGAATGCCTCACCTACATCACTTAAGTGAACCCTTATCAGGCTATAACTATAAAGCAAGTATTTTACCACGACTGTGAGAGGATGAAATACAAACTTGGAAAGGCTATGTGATATGTGCAAACTCACACAGCAAACAGTGATAAGAGAATCAGAACCCAGAACTGCCTGCCTGAAGACCATGCTCTCAGTCAATAGCTCCCTGGAGCAGCACCCAAGTCACACTATACCCAGCCAACCATGGACACCCAAGACCCATCCAATCCCTGGGAAAGCTGCAGGTGGGCTGCCTGGAAGCAGTGGCCAGACCAGGGGGAGAGTAACCCTTGCCAAAGTTCTTCTGTCTCATTTTTCCTTGGCCCAGACTCCAGCAGTGACCCCAGGATTCCTGCTGCCTTGGCCTTTTCCCATCCTGGAATTAGACCCTTCAACCCAAGAGGCAATGTGCTACTTCCCATCCCATTTGGGTCCCAGTGCTTTTCGACTTTACTTAATGTCATCTCCCAGCCACGCATTCACAAAACCTCAGACAATGTCTACTCATCCTTCAACCAGCCCACGTCACCTCTCACATGGGCCCAATCCAATCTCTTCAGTGGCCTCCCTGCTCCATCTCCTTCCTTCTTCCACCTGCCCTCCAGTTAGCCTCCTTAAACAAAAGTGTTACCACACCCATTTTCACAACCTACTGTACCTCTCCTCCGCGTGGCCCATGGAACCTTTCCACCTCTTTCTCTACCTGCCAGATGTCCATTTGGCCACACTTCTTCATCCCCTGTCCTGGGCCTTTGTTCTTATAGTTTTCTTAGCTAAATGGCCATTCATGGCAGAGCCAAATTCTACTCAAGGGAGAAGGCCCAGATGAAATCCTCCTCTTCTCTGAGCCTCCCCAGCAGACTTGAGGCATGCTACCTAAATGCTCAGTTCTAACTTCTGTAGACATTGAGCCCAGTGTCTTGTTAGAAAATAATTTGTGTGAGGTTGACTTGCCAACCACGCCGCTTTCTGACGGCATGGCCAGGTTTGATTCATCTCCAGAGTACAGGTATAGCGCAGGACTAGGCACATAGAAGGAATCAGCACTTCAACTGAATGCCCCAGTGAGAGGCCTGGTCGGCAGACAGTGGGGAGGCTGTAGGCCTTGTCCACTTAATCTCTCCAGGCAAGGAAATCAAGGCTAAGGATTTCAAGTTCCTGGTTTGGCAGGGCTTGAAGAGCCCTTGGCAGAGATGCCAGTCCATCCAGCTGTGGGCAGCAACACCCCATAGCCTGGCAGGAGGCTACATTGGCAAGACCTGACTCACTGTAGGCTATAGTACAGCCAGATGCTCACAGGGTGCCAGTGATGCTGGATTAGCCTTGACCCCAGCATCCCGGACATTCTGAGCAGCGCATCTGGCTCCACTTGGCTCTCTCCCAACCAGGCAACTTGAGGTCTACAGAAATGCCATTATCACTGATGTCAGAAGGCATCAGAATGGCTAGAGAGGTGGGATTTCAAGCCCACAGGCTACCCTCTCAGTCCTGAAGGGTGGCCTACCACCACAGCAGGAGAGCTGAGGGCAGGAAAGCAGAGAAACAAGATGTAACCCTAGAGAGTAGGAAGAATCCAAATGGTATGGCCTTAGACCACTAGCACCAAATGGAGTTGAGGGAGAGACGAACAGCAAGAGGATATACACCAAGGTACCAAGGTCCAGGAAGAAGCTAGGGACTCACAGTGATATGGTCTACTGCACTCAAAAATCCATACTAGACATGAGCAAAGAGAAATAGATGTGGGCAACCAGAAAGGCAGGTAATGGATACCTGAAGCAGTAGTCCAGGAAGGGACTTTAAACTCAAAGAGGAGGTAGTCTGCAAGACCGGATCAATGACTTTCCCATCCTTACCTCAGAAACCCAAACTTCCCTCTCCCACCAAGCCCTGACCCACATCCATTCATAGGGTTCTACCCCATAGAGGTTCCTTACCATGTGAGGGTTGTCATAGTAGACAGCAATGGAGTGGAGCTTGGGAGAGATGCTGCAGCTCTCGGTGAAAAGCGGCCCAGTGTCACCATAGGGTCCCACGTGGAACTTGTAGGCCACAGTGATGTTACGGATGGGAGGTGAACCAGCACTCACTGCCACCCCAGCCAGCAGCCCTGAGTACCCGACAAAGGCCAGCAGCGTCAGCAGAAGTAGCAGAGTCAGGCCCCCAATCAGGCCCAGTAGTAGTAGGTCCGACATGGCTCTGGGCCCCCCAGACAGCACCCCAAGGCAGCTGCAAAGGAGACAGAAGGGAGAGGAGGCTGGCAGCCTTCTCTGACAATACCTGCCTGCCTGCCAGCCAGTTCTGGCCCAGTCTCAGCCCTGACTTGGGTGTTCTGACCCAGGAGAGGGAGGAGCCAGAGGGTGTTTACACTCAGAGTGACCTAGAAGGGAGCTACAAAGGATGACTGAAGCCACAAGCTTCTTTATTTCTTAATCACTAGTCGCTGAAGCTCTCAGAGCAGCTCTGCCAGGCAGCTGGCAGCCCTGGTCACACTTGGGGAAACTGAGTCATAGAGGGGCAGATGAATGAGTCAGCCAAGGACATACTCTTGGTCCTGATCAGTCTCCCCCAAGATGGGCCAGATACCACCAGCCTGCCTTGCCCCCACATTACCTCTCCCTCCCTAAATGAGCCACACCGCCAGCCCAGCCTTCCCAAGCCTCATGCACTACCAACAGCAGGAGGACAGACAAGTGTCAGGATCCACATATTTATTAACAACTAGGAAAACCATGAGGAACAAAATCCTAGGGGGAAAATGTACCATAGGAAGAGAATTTCACAGGAAACTCCTAGGTACATTTGGCTTGCAGAGACCTTGCTTTCCAGCAGCTCATCCATCCAGAACCAGAGGAGAGACCAGAGCAAAACAGCCTGAGCAGTCAGAACAAAGTCCAGCCCTAAGCTTCCCAGACATAAACCTCCAATGCTAACAAGCTTCGTTCCACTTTCACAAAGCACAGAAAGTTAGAAACAGTTAAGAAGAGGGAAGAAGGTGTGGTGGCTCACAACTGTAATCCCAGCTATTTAAGGCAGAGATCAGGTGGATCAAGGTTCGAGGTCAGCCAAGTTGATCTCAACAAACAAGCTGGGAGTAGTAGTGTGTGTCTGTGGTCCAGCTATAAGGAGGCCAAAAGTAGGAGGATCAGGGTCTGAGCTCCAAGTAAAAAACCATGAGACCCTATGTGAAAAATAAGCAAAACAAAAACAAAAAAATGTCTGGGGGCATGGCTCAAGTGGTAGAGCTCCTCCTGCTTAGTAAGCAAGAAGTCAACTTCAAACTCTAGTACTGACAAAAAAAAAAAAAGTAAAAGACTGCTAGAGTGGAAACACAAAAGAGTGGGGAGTAGCAGTTACTCATAAGAGGTACAGAAGTTATATACTAACAAGCCCAAGATCAAGGAGCGGCCACTGAGTGAACCACTCTAGGCAGACTGTCTAGGTCTCCACAAAGCTTGAATACCCTCTTACAGAGTGCTTCACCCAAGTAGACTGGGGAGGGAGGGGGATATGGCAGCACAGAGAGGACTGCTTAAAGAGGAAGAGGGAACATGTAACAGGTTTTAGAGCTGAAAACACAATGCTTCAGTCCTACGGAAAACTTAACTTTACGGAATTATTTCTTCCCTGTGAGTTCAGGCCAAGTTGGAGTCAATGAGCACACAGTGTTTGCCTCAAAAAAAGACCAAGTAATTTTCTAAATTCTGGGCTGTTTTTGAGGTGTTTCCCACTGGCCTCACCCACCTGTGCTCCTGCCTGTTGGTTTGTCTTTTTTCATGCATTTTCTGTCCTAATCATCCTGCCAGCAGTTAGTGTCATCCCTCTTTTCTTTTGATGATCATGAGGTGGAAACTGTCAGCATCTGGGCCACCACTTGCCCCAGGAGTGACAAGCCCTTATTCTGACCAGCCCTCTCAGCTGCACACTTCCTGTTTCAAGAGAATTAAGTTCCCACCTTTCTCTTCTTCCCACCTCCCTCAGAAAGGGGATAAAATGCTCCTGTACGCCCCAGAGCTTGGTCAGCACAGGAAGGCGGAGAGGCAACATAAAATTCCCCCATATGAAAAGAGAAAAGGAGACAGGGCTGGAGAGGCTCACCTGAAAAATCAGGCTCACTTTTAGCAACTCATGGCATCCAGTGCAGCAAGGGCCAAGCGCTCCAGTGCTGGGGACAGAAAGGAACAGTCACTCCAGCCCAGGAAATAACCAGTGAGCAGGGTCCTGACTAAGCCCTTTCCAGAGAAAAGGGGCTCTACAGGCACCCCCTCCGGCCCCATCCTCAGATCCTTTGGGAAAAGAGGGGCCGAACCCAGCCTCACAAAGTCAGGGATTTTCACTAGGGCCCTGCTTATGTCCCTCTTCCCGGAGGGATCCAGCCATCACATTTGGCGCTGAAACTGCCGCTGACCTTGGGCAGACTCTGCCCTCTCTCTAGCCTCAGTTTTTCCGCAGGTCCGAAGCCCTGGACAGACGCCTCCCAGGTGCCGGCGAGCGTCCGGCGCCGGCTTCCTGAAGTTGTTCGCGTGCGTTGCTGCGGAGGACCCGGCCCTTAAAGGGCCCTGCGCTGGCAAAACTTGGGCTCTAGCTCCGAGCTGGAGCACCGCGGGTCCAAGGCCCCGCAAGGAGGATGGGCTCCCCTTCTTATCTCGGCTTCCAGCCGGTTTGCTGGAAGCCTCTCCTATTTGTCCAGCCCCTGTCTCTTTGCCGAGGGCCTCTCCGAGTCTCACACACCTCAGCAACTTAGGGGACGCTAAAGTTTGCGGCCAGAGCGGCCAAGCGAGGCCTGGCCAACAGGGCGGAGTTAAAAAGATGTCTCTCGCCTGTTTTCCCCCAACCCCACCGCCCCGGGGCGTGCACCGCACCCACGGCAGTGGTCGGCAAAGGGGAGCCCACGGTCTTATTCAGGCCCTCGGACACGGGGCGAGATAATATGCAAAGGGCGGCCCAGGCCGCGAGGCCACGGGAGCCACGGAAGGGTCGCGGGAGCACTGAGGTTGTGCCGGCGCAGCGGGGGGTGTTCCAGACCCGCGCACTGGCGGGAACGCCTCTCCTCAAGTCCGACCCTCACCTCAACAGCCGCCCCGCGGACGCCGACCCGCGCAGGCGGTTAGGGGCTCGGTGGAGCAGCCTGCGCGCGCCCGCTGTTCACGCTTGCTCCGCCCCCTCTCGCGGCGGGCCGAGGCCGTGGCCGTGGGCGCGTGCGCTCGGGACCCGGAGGGCTGAGGCCTGCCCCGCCCCGTCCCCATGGCTACGTGCGCGCGCCAATCCCTAGGACCTGGCTGGGGCGGAGCCCTCCCCGCCTCCAGGAAACCACTAGGCTGCTGAAGGTGACAGAGCAACACCCCAGTGGGTATCTGGGTTGGCGGGAGCACTACAGCCATGGCCTGGCCAAAGGTGCGGGGGAAGACGGCCCGGTGGCCTGCAATAGAGCGCTAGGCTGGAGTCCGGGAAAACCAACTGAAGAGGAGCGTTTGTACAGGTTAGAAAGGCATGGCACGGCAATGTCAGCCTCTAGTATTTGTACCACACTTACTCCTACCGCTCTCTCACTGAGGCTTCGTGACAGGCCTGGGAACCACGCAAGACAGAGCCCCTTGCTCCCGTTTTGCAAGTGAGGTAGTCTAGGCTCAGGGAAGCAGCTGGGGAATCCAGCCTCTGGACAGCAAAACATCTGCTTCTGCCTTCACTCTCCCACTCACCTTCCTTTGAGGACAGAAGTGATCAGAAACAAACCAAAGCCTCATGCTCCAGAAGTTCACGTTCCAGGGGAATGCCTCTTTCTAGGCTACTCCTTCAGTGCCCTAGAAATGGGGGGAGGGGTGGGAGGAGCCTTTCTGGTTTACCATAACCTAAGTAACTCCTAAGGCAAGTGTAAGCTTGATGAGTTCAATCCTCAGCTTAGTTCAGTCCTCAGTTTCTGAGGACCACAAAACACTCTGCTAGGGGTTCTCCTTCCAGATTTATGGTGGAGGAGGCAGGGAAGGTGACAACTGTGCTCATAAGCTTTGCTGCTCACAAGCTTGGCTACAAGACAGGCTAGGCCAAGGACTACCATGGTGCTTCTGACAAGAATTGCTGTTTAGGAGGGGATCACCTAGAAGTAACACCAGGAAGGTGGCTGTGGAAAAAGAAGCCATAGAGCTTGTGGATGCCACTATTACATAGCAATGGGCAGGCTGGGCACACACATGCAGCTGTAATCCTGGCTTCCTTTTCCTCTGCATCACATTCTCCCATAGGCAAGGAGAACTGAGCCTCATCCACAGGGCCAAGTCTGTCCCAATACTCTGGGCAGACTGCCAGAATAGGCAGCTGGCCCCTCTCAGGCACTCAGGGCTGGGCCAGCAGGTTGTGACAGTAGTTTTACCTGTAAACATCAAACATATTATGATCAGGTGCTCCAGGCAGGTGGGCTATACACTGGGAAACATTTCCTGTGACATAAGGAGGGGGTGTGGCACTGAGTCAGAGACAGCCTCTGCCTTCAGGGTTTGCACAGCAATTTCTCCTACTTCTCAGAAGTTGATGCGCTTCTCCCAGGAAATCATTTGTCTTTCCTTACCCTGTCCACTCTGCTCACGTCCTTTAACCTGGTTGGGAGCTCCAGAGCCCCACTTGAGAGTTCAGGGTGTACCTTAGGAGCTTCAGCATTCTGTTGTGGAAAAAGAGTCAGCCAGCAACTGAACTGTAGGCCATCAGACAGCCAAGGCTTCAACAGTGGTGTGATACTTGCAAGGCCTCAACTGGCCACTGGGAGGCAGCAGCCTCCTTTGCAAGGCATTTTCTTCACTCCCTCTCTCAACAGGAGACCTGCTCACCTTCTGTCCACCCTCAGCCCTATCTCCCAATAGCAAATATTCCCCTATCATGAGCTGAGACTTGGGTTTGGTCTCCTCTTGCCCTCTTCTAGCCAGGGAATCCCCACAGAGGATCTTTAATTCTCCCTTTATAAATCTCCAGAGAATATTTCCCCAGGACCCCACCCCTTAAACTTGGGAAGCTAGAATGGCCTATTGCCTTCTCCCCATCCCTACCCCCCACTCCAAAGCACTGGTATGCTTTCTGTGGGCAATGGCTAGCTCTCAACTCAGATGACAATCAGAGAACACACATACAGTGTAAGATGCTTTCCAACACCGCCACCCTTCACTTTCCACCCTCTGAAGGCACTGATGCTGACCCAGTTCCACAGCCTAGACTCACAACCTAGACAGGGCTGGCCCTGAAGGACCAGCTAAGCCTCAACAACTCCAAGTCAGCTTTGTTGTTTCCCCCAAGAGCCTGGAAATACAGTGCTAGCAGAGTACCCAAACCTCTTCAGGTAAACAAAGGAGAAAAAACGAGTGAAACCCACTGTTTCCCACCTGTTTCACCCCCAAGTGCTGTCCCACTTGGGGGACATATTCCTTTTACCATCACCCAACTAGGCAGCTGTCCAGACAATTCCTTGACCAAATGACACTGCCTTCTTGAGTTTAAATTTTATTTTACAAAAAGAGAAATAAAGAAAACTGATAGGCAGTTATACTGACTTACAATTGTTTGCTTTTTGTTTTTTTGTTTTTTTTTTAAAAAAAAGTGACATGAAACACAAGTAAAAATAAATACGTCATAGAAACAGCCAGTTGCCCAGTCTCTGGGGCAGAAGCGCCTGCCCTGCTGAGAGAGGAGGGAAGCCCATGATCACACCAGCAGCTGGATCACCCAGCCACAGATGCTCCTCTAAACCAGGCACAGGTCCCAGGCCTCAGGGGCATCCTGAGGAAAGAAGAAGGAAAACCAAAGCCAGGTGCGAGGGCCCTGGGGCCACCTCATCTCTCTCCACCCTCCCCTCCCCCCAGGAGCAATGTGGCCTTAGTGGTTATCCATTGCAACCCCCCTCAACCCACCTGGACCCTCCAATCCCTCTGAAGAGGGCACAAGGAAAAAAACCTGTCTTGGGCAGGCTTGGTGGATTCTTCTCGTGAGTCCCCAGCCCACCCTGAGTAACACACCCACTTACTAGTCATTTTACACCAAGGTGCACATGAACACACTTGTGCTCATGCATACAACACACACACACAACATACACTCAAACACAGCTGGGCTGAGCTCTCTTGGGGGGAGGTGGTCCTGGGTTAGGTCACAGTATGAGGTCCCCTCTCGTCTGAGCATCATCCCAGTAGTGGTAGCAGAGAGTACCCAAACCTCCCCGGGCCCTCTTCATTGCAAACTGCAGCCTGCCTAGCAACTTCTCCCCACCACATTAGATGACTATAACAGACTTTCGAAGAGGGGAAAGGCGCAGACGGGTCCCTGAAGAGCAAAGAAGGTGGAAACTACCTGCTCAGGAAGTTCATCGGTGTAAGACTCAGGTATCCATAAAAGGCCTAGGGACAAGGTAGTGGCACAGGACAGACACTGAAGGGTCACAGCAGAATACACTAGGCAGAAAAGTTGGTAGGAAGGGAGCTGAGTCTGAAGGTGAGCAACAGACAGTGAATCATTCTCAAATAAGTCTTGAGGTGCTCATTTCCTGGGAACAGCCAGCAGAGGGCCAGAAAGGCTCCTGGGGTCCTTTGGAAGAAGGATGATTTCTCTCAGGAGTTTTGGTGGTGGAAGAGCAACTAGCTGAGTGCACAGAAAGCAAAGTTCAGATGGGTGAGACTAGTCCACTGAGAAATCAAAGGGAAGTGGGAAGCAGCAGGTCATACCCAGGAACACTAGGATTGAGGAATGTAAAGCCCCCAGAAGACCTTCTCCATGGGATAAGGACTCAGGTCCAGAGCAGTGAATGCCAGGCTTAAATATACTGACATACAGAGAGCCTTGCTCTGCTGGCATCTTGTAGTGACAGTCTCATCTACGTGGCTGATGTTTGGTTCTTTCAGCCAATCAGCAAAGCTTATCACAGCTCTTTGCTTCATGCTCCCAGAGTGGGAAGTTTTGTTTTCAATTGTGAGTCACAAATATAATCTACACACTAATTCCTAGGGAACACAATTATATGGACAAGTCAGTTATGATGAAGCCAGGAGATAAGATAGATACCTTAAGCAGCATAATTCAAAGGAGTGAGAACTTCAGAGATATTCACTCTACAGGAAAAGATCTGACTCAACATGGTTCACTTACTTCCCATCTTAAACAGCTTTGTCCCTGCCAGCAATCTTTAGCCACAAAGACATTAAGAAAAGGAAATCAAGCATCACTAGAAAAGGTAATCTTGAATCATTCTAGTACTGTATTTCCTAGGATAAAAACTTAAGCTACACCAAATCAGTAGGACTTGAGAGACTCTTGAAAACATTCCGTGGAAAACAGTAGTGAGGGAAAATGCCTGAGCCAGGCCAGATTGGCTGCTTTCCCTCTGATCACCAATGGTCCTTCCTACCCCATAACTCAGGTTTGCATTGTGAGTGGAATCCACCATCAAGCATTTTTTTTATTTTTTTATTTTTTTGGCTTTTTGTGACCAGATCTCCCTCTGTAAGCCTGGGGCTGGCCTTAAACTGGAGATCCTCCTGTCTCAGCCTCCCAAGTGCTGGGACTACAGGCATGAACACCATGCCCATCTTGGCTTACCAAGTGTTTTTGATCAAAGAAACTGTAAAACATGGTTCTTAAGCTCTGGGACACTTCAGTTTCCCTTACACATATGCTCATGCTTGGTGTGCATGCATGTTTGGCCACCAGCACACATGAAGAGACAATAGAAAAATCAGAGAAGTGTTTTCAGTTTCATTAAAAAAGAAAAAAGAAAAACCCATAGAACTGATTTCATTTTAATTTCCAATGATCTCTTCCCCACCCTCACACAATAGAAGCTGTACATCATCAGAAAGTCTTCTGTAGCCAAGTCAGCTTCCCAGAATTATGGCCTTTGCTGAAATGAAGCAAGTCTCAGGCCCTAGAACCACACTGGGTACAAAGCACACATGTGCTGCCTCTCAGAATACCTATTTACTTTCTGGCAACTGAAAAGGCCTGTCCCTTCAATAACTGGTTTCTGTTCCCTACTGAAATAGTTTCTGGCTTCTCAGATGACTGCAGTGATTTCCTGTGAGAGAACACAGAAACAGAAACACCCTTTTCCCCCAAACACACATGCACATGCGCACACACATACACGGGCACACATCTCTGAGATCCCAATGTTCTAGGGTCTGATGCATTTCTGTAACCCAGG